GAGAGAATATCGTGTGTGTGTGTGTGTGTGTGTGTGTGTGTGTGTGTATATATATATATATATATATATGGAGAAAGCTATCAAAAGGACATATATATGATACACACATCACAGTGTAGATGGTCAAGCTCTTTGAAGCATATATTGCTTATATTGCTTATTTTGTTGCCATGACAAAATACCTGACAAAAGCAGTTTAAGAAAGAATTTGTTTGGGCTCATGGTTTAAAGGGATGCCATCTATCATGATGGGGAAGGCAGTGGGGAATTTGAGGTGTCTGGTCACATTGCACCTGCAGCCAGGAAGCAGAGAGAGATGGATGTTGGTGTTCAACTGGTTTCCACATGGTAGAAAGAGAGATTTGACTTCAGCAAATTGTCCTCTGACCTCCACACACATGCTATGTGGTACATACAAAATAATAAAATGTAATGTTTTTTTAAGATAGCTGAGGCATGGGGCTAGAGAGATGGCTCAGCAGTGCCCCCAGTTCAAGGGGATCCAACACCCTCTTTTGGTCTCCATAGGCATTGCATGCCATGGGAACACTTAGCATACATGCAGGCAAAACACTCATATACATAATAAAAATAAATTTTAATTTTTTTTAAAGTAACTGAGGAGCCAGGCATGGTGGTGCATGCCTTTTAATCCCAGCACTTGGGAGGCAGAGGCAGGCGGATCTTTTGTGAGTTTGAGGCCAGCCTGTTCTACATAGTGAGTTTCAGGACAGCTGGGGCTACAGGGAGACCCTGTCTCAAAAAGACAAAAAAAAAAAAAGCAGCTGAGGAACTAGAGCAATAGCTCAGCAGTTAAGAGCATTGGCTGTTCTTACAGAAGACCCAGATCAATTCCCAGCACCCACATGGAGGCTAACAACCATCTATAACTCCAGTTCCAAGGGATCTGATGCCCTCTTCTGACCTCCACATGTATTGCACAACACAGGCACACTCAAACACATGCAGGCAATACATTCATACACATGACATTTAAAAATAAATATTTTTTAAATCACAAAAGTTGCTGAGTCACTTTTGGCAATTGATGGCTGCTGGGGGAAGAAGAGTTTGTTTTCTTAGGGGATATGGTCCCTGAGAAGCTACCCATGCTCTAATAATGGTACCACACCAGTGCACATACAGGGAGCACTAAGTGACTCAAAAGGCTTAAAAACAGAGCAATGAAATTAGGAGGGAAAGGTAGGGGGGATAGGGAGGGAATTGGAAATGAAGGAAAGGGGATGGCTTTGATCAAAATACATTATATACATGTGTTAAATTCTCAAACAGTTAAAAAATGTTAAAGACACTTCTTTATAATGCTAGGGCTGAAGCTGTAATATAGAGCACTTGCATAGTACACTTGAGGCCCTGGGTTCAGTTCTCAGTACTGCAAAAACAAAAAGGCCTAGAAACGTCTTTATCCTCTTCCACTCTCCTCTTAAGCATTGCTGTTCCACAGGGCTTGGTTCCCTCTTCTTAGTTTCCTGGGCCATGTCATCTATACCCTTGGATTCAGTCACATAATTATTAATGTGTAAATATAAAGGCAGTTATATAAATGTGTGTTAAATACTTTCCATTCCCAAATCTGTGTTTTCAAATGGCTTTTGGTGAAGTCCACTTCGTGCCACACATCATACTGAAATCCATTTGTTCATCTTTCTCTCCAACTAGACCCTGGTTTCTTCATGAGCAGTAAAAGTTTGAGTATATATGGATCTCACTATGAACTAGCTTCTTGAATGGGCTTCATTGGCACTAACCTTTGGGTTTAAGGCTGCTACAGAGATATATACTTGGGATACTTTCAGTCCTCCCAGAAATCAGAAACCTTTCAGAGGCCAAGGTCATCTTAAGTAGCTTACTTGTTTGCAGCCTTTGTTAGTCCAACTATGTACAATATCATTTATAGAACTGCTACTATAATAATAACTATATTTCTCAATTGCATCCTTCTGCTCCTAAGTTTAAAATGTACTAGTTTCTGAATGTTTCACTCTAATGAAAAACTATCCCAGTTCTGTATTGTGTGGAAAAGGGCTGGTTCCACAAATGCATACTCAGAATCTAGAATATGCACATGATCAGTGAACTACCAGAAACATCCTGGGTACTGCTTTTTGTACTTTTACTTTCAAACTGAGTGCTATAATCAGTTCCTCGGTAGTACACCATGCTGTGTTGATAAAAGTTACAGCACTGCCCTAACTCTAGCCTAGCACTAGCAAGACTGACAAGAAAGCAGTAAAGTGTTCTTTAGTTTACTACTGCAATGAATTTTGAAGTGACTCTACCACACTAAAAGGCCAGGCATGGTGGTACACACCTGTAATCCCAGCACTTAGGAGGCTGAGACAGGAGTATCAGCCAGCCTAGGCTACATAGT